GAGTGTTTATTCCATTTACCTGTGTAGCTCCTCACAGTTTCTCATCACCATTTATCTGTGTCACATGCTCCAGTCTCTATTTAACCTGCCTGCTTCTAGTCATCAGTGCCAGATTATTCGAGCCTTTGCCTACCTGTTATCGTTTTGATCTGTTTGCCTGACCTGTCTTTAGACTCCTGATGACCGAACCTGGAACTTCTTCCTGACACCGACCTGGATTTCCCTTTGGTACCTTAGGTAAGGGAGACACCTTATCTATTAAGCATAAAACTTTCCTTTTTGAGCCTATACTTAAAAAAAGAGTGATGCTTGCTTAGTTGCTTGATGAGTAGGGAAGTAGGAGAAGATAGAGTGAACAGTGCAGTCCAGCAAAGGGAGACTTCAGTCTGGACAGATGTTTCTCCTTGGCGATACTGTGGCTCTATCTTTCTTATACCTAATCCAAAATGGCTTATCCTGAGCTATTTTTTGTATTTGTGCTCTTGTCCTTTCCACTGTCGCTACATACATGCTCAGTATGAGGGATTGCTAAAAAGTCAACGACACAATTTAAGTGAAGGTCGTCACCAGCAGGAGCGTGTATTGCAGGTCAATTCTGGATCAAGCCATTCAGAGAAGTGTTGGCCTAGTGGGTTAAAGCAGTGCGTTTGTGCTCTGAGAAGGTTACAAGTACCTGGTAGATCCCCACAGCCTGAACTCTGGGTTCCTGAGCAAAACCCTTAACCCCACACCGCTCCCCTGGCACCACACAATGGCAGCCCACTGCCCCTCAAGGGGTTGGGTCAAAATGCAGAGACTGAATTTCCCAATTGTGGGACAATAAAGTGATTTAAATGTAGTTTTCCTAAGCAATCTGACAGTATTGTCTCTGTTAAGTACCTTGAGGTTACATGTGTTGTGAATTTGCGCTATATAAATAAACTGAATTGAACTGAATCTGAGAAAAATTATCCAATACTGATAATGGGAAGGCTATATGGACTCCACTACACCATCTAACTTTCAGATAAGATTAAGATCTGGATGTTCTGGTAAGCAGTTTATTCATTAAATTGTACCTTCCTGAAGTTCCTGAATAACTCAATAAATGCTCTCATTTCCATCCATTACAAGATGAGTTCAATCTTAAATGATGTCAGAGTATATAGCATGCCCTCATTAGGCCCGAGCAGCGAAGCGCTGCGAAGGCCTATTGTATTTCGAAAGTTTCTTATTATTATTCTTGTAGCACTTTGAATGCATTTTACTTCTTTTCTTTCAAATGTTTAATTTATAAATGTTTACCAAAAAGACAGTCAATTTCAAGCTGTAAACATTGGCTAGAAATGTACTTCACAGTCAGTTGGGCTGTTAATCACAGACCTTCGTTTTGTTCAAACCAGGCCTTCGTTCAGCTCTTGCCTCTGGTCATGACTGCTCACTAAAGCGTGAGATAACAGATTTAAAAGGCAGCATGAGGGCACAGTATGGTTCAAGTTCCTCAGACAATAGACAGCTATGTTTACAAAGAGAATGAACACTGCTTCTTGTATCAGTGTTGTTACACACAAGCAGAACTTTTTCATTAATCTTTATTTTGATGAAATATTGTGTATTAGGAACTTCTAAAATGTAATATTGTATCAATCAAAATTATCTTTAAAAAAACAGAACACAAAAAAATAACATAAATGGGAAAAACAAAGTTGAAAGTCCCCTGTTATGCATTGCTTTTAATGTTCTACATCTAAATAAAATATAACTCACCGTGCAAGTTCATTACAAGAAAACAAAAGATTTTTTTTTTTTTTTTCCTGGAAATGTTTCATATCAGAACAATCTGTCTCATACTTCAACTGCTTGGGTTTGTTGCAAAATTGTAATAAGTTGAGTAAATCACTTGAACTATAGGTTTGTAAATTGTAAAGTATTTTTGAATAAAGAAAAAAATACAAAATAGTGTTTTTACGATAATTATTTAAATTATGCTTTATAAGTCTATCTGTTCTCATTGATATAACAAATTTTGACAAGTTTCGGTGAAGGAAAAGCTTTTCAGGTTACTATGTCATTAAGATGGCAGAAATTACAGGATCTTACCTCTTTCCTTGCTCCTCTACAGGAGTGAATAAAAACGAAATAATTCTCTTTAGCTACAGCAGTATCACCATAACCTTACATCTATATTTAGCCTCAAGGAACCTTTGTTTCAGAGACTGCTGGGTGTCAATGGAGACTTGACACTATTCTTTGGTCCTGTCATTAACACGGCTGTTCAAAGTATAATGCCACTGACTTTGAGTGTGGCAATATTTGGTTTCCAGGAAGAAGCAGGGACTTTTCACAAGTTTCGGTTTTAAGATCTTTGATAAATGATTGTAACCATGTAGGAATTTCCAATAACGAGACCAAAAATAATAAAAATAAGTAAAAAGCAAAGAAAGGCATATAGATACAGTAAATGCTGAGAATGTAACAAACATCTCATTGGGCAATTCAAACTGGTCTGTCTGTTAAAGTCATTGATAATAATACACAAAAGTGTTCAAGGATTTGTGCTCTAAAAATTATTGTGTGAAAAATGATTAAAAAAAAGAAACTAAAGAATAAGATATGTAATCATTTCTTTTATTCTATTTTTGTTAAATGATGCTCAGATGTATTTGTTGATGTGTACGATAAGTGATACATGCAAATCTACACACCCTTCCTTTAGGTGCATTTATGTACTTTTCAGGAAGGCTTCAGTTCTTATTTGACTAGCATCATCCATGTTCGAGTTCGTCTAGTAATGACTTCCACAAGGCTATAGGCTGTCTAGATTCAGCGCAGGAGTCCAAAGTTAATTTTTTAACCAGGATAGTGTTCTTACTGAGTTAGGAGCAAAAATTTGCCCAATTAAGAAGGAGCCAGTGGCTTCTGGAAAAATGACTTAGAGAACCCCAACCCAAAGAAATCCATAAGAATTTACATTTAGGTTGTTGCTATTTTTCTTCACCGATATTATGTTGTTGAAGCTGAGCAAAAAATCTATTTAAAAGAAAAAGGCAAAATAATAAAGCAATAAAATCTGAGTGTATGATTATTATTATTATGATTATTTGGTTTTCTTTCTGGACAGATTTTTGGTTATTAAGGATTATCAGGTACGGGTCTGAACTTGAAAAATCAATTCTTAAGTGGCATTAGCACTGCTCCATAAATTTTTTTTTCTTTGTTAACTGAGCCTTTAAAATTGCAAATGTAAGAACAAAATTAGAATTAGAAGATGCAAGCCCATGGCCCATGGGTCAGGTTTGGTGCCCAACACACTAGTTTCATTATGCATGCAAATGATCATAGATCATTTTTTATAAAAAATATAACAAGAATGATTTATCTCAGATTTTCACTCCCAATCTTTCATTTTATGAGCTTATCCATGTCCTTTAATCCCTTTGTTCAGCAAACTGAAAGTGAAAATATCTGGATTTTACATATAGGTCCACTTGGAAAGCATTTTAGTTCAACAATACCATGATCTTTCTCTCGATCCATTTGTGGAAATCATGAGAGAAAAGGAATGCCTGGTTCCTTAAAACCTGATAAACTTTACAGGTTCCCATTTTTACTTCCACTTCTCAACAGAATAAAACACATTAACTGAAATCAGACATTATGTACACAGATTACTTGACTGAATCTTTTATACAGACTGCCGTACCTTAATACGTGGGGAAGGAGGTGTCAGGCATTAAGAGTGGCTTGGCATCTGAGAGAGAGTTGAGACAGAGGAGAGAAAAGAGAGAGGAGAGCAACTACCAGCAGATAAAGAAAGAACAAAAAGATAGCAGAAGCTCTGGAAATGTCAAAACAATTTTTGACTTCACTTTAAATGCTTAATCAGACATTTTACAATGTAATAATTACCTATGTCGATGTGCAGTTTTTATTGTTGCATTGTAACAATCATTAATGTAGTTAATAATAATGGTCAATAATTTGGCCATATCACATCAAACAGACTAATTACCAATTATCCAGTTGTCTATAGACAGTGCTGAAAGTTCATCTGCACATTCTATAAAATTACCGCCCCCCCACCACCCCCTGCCCAAACAATCAAATGGCAGTTCTGTCTTTGCTTAACAGATCCTTGTTTTTGTTTTTAAAGCAGTACCTTTGACAGACTCCAGTTTTTGAGAGGGATTCCTCTACTTGGTTACATGCAGGAGTTAAACCTATTATGTTTTTTGTGGATAATTGGCTTTGGTTTATAGTGGGTGACTTAAAGGACTACTACTCAGTGGTGTTGTAACAGCTTATGATTGATATGTGCCATTTAAGACAGAAAATACTTTATTTATAAACAAACTGATATATAATGTATGCATATTGTTGAGACATGAATTATTGAAATTTTGAATTGTATAAATTAAAAATGTCAGAGAAGTTGGCGGTACAGGTATCAGAGAGATTTGTCAAAAATCTCCAGAGATCAAACTGAATGTTAAAGATAGTAAGGGTGGCCTTTTTATGATTTTACTAATGAAGCAGTTGGTTTGCATGCTTGTTGTCCAATGTGCAGATTTATTTGCAAGAAAACTCAACTTATTCTTCTCTGTTCTATTCGCTGTAATTCTATGGGTTAAAAAGAAAGATACTAAAGACAGGAGAATAATTATTTACATGTCTTGTTGAGACCAAGCTTATTTTTTTCACTAAGATTGTTTGCTCTTTGTTTGACATTGTCCTACATCCCAAAAGGTCCTATATTTAAATAATTTAAAATCATTGCCCTTTTTAAGATTTTGAATTCTCCATGCAATCCTGTGTAGTTGGCACAATGTTACTTTTGATTATAGCAGAAAACTCTTCAATGTTACAGCAGCAAAACTAATTCTGATTGAGATTTAAACAGAAGCATTCAGTAGAAAAGACATACAAATTAACACTTGAGTGAAGCTACATCTGAACACTGCAACAATGACAGTCATCTAAAAGACTATCATTGAAACATAACCACTGCATTTAGCTAAGAGGTTTCCTTATTTTTTTAAATCATAATTTACAGGATAATTTCAAAATTTTAAAAGCATGGGCACAAAAGGGCTCAAATCAGTGAAATACCTCTTTTTTAATTGAATACAATTCACAGCATTGTACTTTTACATAAGAATTGATGGTATAAATTCAGGAGCATAATCTATTTCTGCATATTACACAATAAAATAAATAATCTAACTTGGTTTGGGAGGCGCTTGGCCCTTCTTAACATGTCTGGGTAAAAAATTACACTTTTCTACTATCATTAAGGACTTCTCTCTCCCAGCCACTGACCAAAAATGCATGACTAACATTAAAATAAATCTATTTTTATTTACATGTATCAGGATAAAAATCTGTTAGAAACACACCAGCTTTATGCAGTCAGAAAGCAGGTCTAGGCAATCATATTTTTCTTCACTCGTGGCTCCTGAAGCTCTCAGCCCTCATCCAGGCCTATGAAGGCAGCGTTGGATTGAGTTTGAAAGATGATAATAGACTCCTGAGGAAACTAATCTATTTCTAAGGAAGAAAGTGCCATGAATTCTCTCACATGCACCCTATCTACACCTTTCCACTCTTCTCATTCTGCAGTTTTCACCCTGCAGTTGTATTACTGTACAGTTCCCTGAATAAACTATAAAGCATCAATTAATCTTGATTTTTGACGGTTAAAAAAAGATAGCATTTCATACATGCCTTACAGTTCTTTTAAGTTTCTTTATACAGTCATAAAGTACTTGATTAAAAAGGGAAAAAAAGTTGGGGCCAGTTTTCACACAGAGTAATTATTATGACAACCTTTTATAAAAAAAAAAAAAATTATAAAAAAAATCATTTTCACCATATACAAATATTTCAACTGCAGAAGAAATAAATTCCTTTTTAAAACAATCTGCACACTACTAAGCTTTGCAGAAGTACAGTAGTGCATACATATTTACAGAGTATTTACTTAATGTACAGTAATGTAACTTATTATAGACCATACATTTATAGCATAGGTATTTTTGTATGCTTCCTTTCATAAATAAGTCATTATAAGCATTTAGAAATGTCCACCTCACCTTATCCAATCTTAACTTATCAAAAATAACTGATTTCTTAAAGCCATGATATGCAGTCTTACATTTAGCTCAGTAGAGGTTGTGTCCAAGGTGGTATATCACAGCCAATGACGTCCAGTGGCTTTTTCATCTTAGGGCAGACAAACTAAATATCTAAATTCTATCTTTAATGGGGCAAAGAGACAGCTGTTATAAGTCCAGGATCATTTGTAAGCAGGGTAATGCTAGGACCCAGATAACTCCAGTAAGTCTGAGGCTGTGAGAGTTTCCATTTATATTTGAGTCCTTGGCAGGTGGATGATGATAATGATGATGTTTGTAATCACCGGTCACATCTGGACTCACTGCAGAGAGAGCAAAGATGAAAATTAGCGTTTGAAGGATACTCATTAACAGCATGACTCAAGTATGCACTGCGATTTTACATGTTAGAATGACATGGGTGATTTATTTAAGAAGTTTTTATAGCAACAAACCCCATAAATAAACAAAGATTCAACACTTAATCTTTCAAAATTCTTGCATTTTCTTATCTGTTAAAGAACTGTCCAAATATTTACCTCTGTTTCAGACCTTTGAGTTGCCAAGAGCTTTTTAATTTGAAGCCAAGATTTGAATGCTAATTGGCTTGTGCATACATTCTCAGTGTGATCAAGTGATGTGTACTTTAAACCAAGGTTTATTCATGAAATTTCAAAACACTAAATAAACCAGTAAGATTACAACATAAGAACTTGGTATAGTAATCACTTGAACCAGCTGGAATATTTTATCTTATTCTCCAAGGTCCTTTATATTCCTTATTCTGAATTATTTGTAGACTGCTGTTATTTTAATACCAGGGAAGCTTGTTTTTCGGAAAACCTGTTTAATAGAGTATGTTGATGGGGAGTTGTTTCTGTGCTAAACCTTGTTTTTAATAGACCGCATCTAATTGTTTTATATAAAGTAGGCTCATATGGTTGTCAGCACTGTTGTCTTGCAGCAACAAAGGTCATTGGTGTTCTCCCCATGTATTCCTGGTTTCATCCTAGTATTTAAGAAACACAGGTTAGGTTAATTGGCCACTTTACATTGCACTTAGTACCAATTGTCTGTGTATGTGTGTATGTGTGTGTGTGTGTGTGTGTGTGTGTGTGTGTGTGTGTGTATATTGTTATATGCCATGTGTATCTCTGTGATGGACTGTGGACCTCTTCCTGGATGTAAGCCCCCTCTCGCCCACAAACTGTTGAAAATAGACACCACCTATTCCCTCAACCCTATAGGGCAAGCTTAGGTTTAATTAATGAACACATGGATAGACTTTTAAGCCAGTTGTAATACACCTTTAAACTTAGTAATTTTTTTTTTCCCTTTTTTGATGTATTTACAATTTTCCTTTTCACATTTTTTGTTGAATTATTTGCTTATCTTTTTGCTTAGATGAATTAAGGACATCTTATATCCTTATATTTCTAACATAATTTTTATTTGCATTGTAATTTTGTGAAGCACGTTGTGTCCTCTATGTCTGTGAAAGGTGCAATATAAATAAACATTACTTGCTTGCTTACTTACTTGCTTACTTACATAGACATAGCCGGAGAGATATTTAATTTGAATTTTGAGAGATCTTACCAGAGGGCTGAAACACTTTTTACCTACTGTTTCTATACTATTTCTATTAATTTTGTTTATTCTATGATTGATCTATTGTTGTAGGGTAGGGGTGCTTTTTTTATGTCACGGTGCATTGATATTAATCTTGCTTTAATGGTAGCAAGTGTTTATTTTGTTTACAGCGCTTTGGTCCTGTGGGTGTTTAGATAAAGCTAGTATAGTATTGTACTTTGCAAAAGGACAATGTGTAGCCTGTGTTTAGTTTGGGTACTGACACATTCTTTGATAATTAACAATTAGAATAGACAATGTAATTGCTGCGATTCCTGAAATCAAAAGCAGTGATAAAGGACAGAAAATTAGAAAAAAGGCCTTTTTTGTTAATACACCCTCTCACCCCCCTTTCTTAAGGCTAAGAAAGTAATATATTATCCTCAGCTACTTTGCAAGACATTAGATATGTCTTAAAGTAAAATAATGGCTTTTCCATCATTGCTGTTTCTAGCTATCACTTCTACATAAACAATGCAAAATAACTTATAGGTAAGTGACTTAATCATTTGGCAAATGCCGATGAACATTTAAATATTTACAACCCAGTGTTTGCATGTATTCCACAACATAAAGCTGAACCAAACCCCTGTAGAGACAGAAGCAACAGCTAAGCATGATTTGGTTAAATGTTATCATAGATGCCTGCCTGAGAGACTGACTTAAAGAGAAGTGCACAATGGCAGATTACAACTGGAGAAGGTTAATCATTTCTTAAATGTACTTTTATGGTATAATAAAGGTGTTTTGAAATATTTCTTTCTGGTTTATATCAGATAGATCGATATCAGAAGATGAAATACATCTAGCTGATTGTCTTTATTTTTGTATATTTTGCTTTTGATTTTTTCTGATAACTCAGCACACCTTCCTGTGCCTGGTCCTATGTCCTAAAATCAAATTATCTAGAAAAGCAGAAACTAACTGAGCCATGGTGCAGTATAATGCAGATCAGGGCAGTCTCTTCCTTACTGACAAAACCTTTGCATTTATGAAATTCCTGGTAACAGCAATGTTTCCCATTTGATATTTTACTTCAAACTAGCAGAAATCCAGACACCCCTAGGCTAGTTTTAGAAGAACCTGTCAATGTGTAAGTGAAGACTGTATACTTTTTCCAGTCTTGATGGAGTAAGCTATGCTGAATATGTTAGGTTTTTCATTTCCCTCTTAATTACAACTACAGCAATAATGCTTCATACATCTTTTGCAGCTGCAATACATTACCACTGCTGTTAAACCATTAGGGGAGTCTGTTAATTTTCCACTATAAATAGCGAGCTGATGCAACCACAGGGCACCTTCATCCTCCACCTCATTCCCCGGAGATGCAGCAGAGATCATCCTGGGAGCAACCTTATGTCAACAGACATTGAGTGTTTATGGTAAGGTGTTAAAACCCATTCAATAGCATTGCAAAAAAGAGCTGTTGATGATTTGCGTTGTTTTATTTCTGTGCAGAATTCACCTATCTGGGTTTTTTTTTTTTTGAGGTCTCGAAAATTAATCCATCATGGCTGATTTTGTTCATATAAACTATTTAGAAACAATACATTTATACAATGAGTGTCAAAGTTAGAACAATACTAAAATAAGTTAATGCAATAGTCCCCTTACTCATTCGTTTTTTAATTTTGAAATGTTATAGCACAGATCAGCTCACCACAAAATCAAACACCCCATGTGTCTGTCTCTGAAATGAAACTTCAGCAGATATATAATCAGCCAGCTGCACCACACCATCCATTCTGTTGTTTACATGTGGTTGGAGGCTTAAGTGTTTGAGAGGAGAAATTCTGTGTTCCCTGCTGTGTGAAACAGAGCGTCTTTAACCCTGCTGATGAAGCCTCATTCTGCACTGTGTTTTCCTTCCCCTGGGGGAAGAGGTAAGGTTGAACCCAAATAGATCCACAGCTGTTTTAGGATTCTGTAGTTTCTCGCTTAGGCCCAAGGGTCATAAGTCTGTCATCGGCTAGATTAGTCTCACCTACACCCGTTCAGCTATCAAAAATAAGACCTGCTGCAGATGCCATTTGTACTCTATGGACTCAATTTCAGTTTTTATGTTGCGGCAGAAGAGAACTGCAATTCTTTTACCCAGAGGAGGATCAACAAAGGTTACCTGATTTAGTAAAGACAAACAACAATCCTAGCGGTATACTGACATCTAAATCATTTATCTATCATCATGTAATTTATGTGATAATAAACAGGTATTATAAAAAGCATTAAATCAACTGAAAATCCTAGGTTTCACAAGATTTAGTGGCTTGTCTTACTGTCTTATTTACTTAGAAAGAGACTGTTGCTTGTTGTGAAAGCATAAGATCATGTTGTCCAGTCAAATGCCTATTGATTTCCTACCTCAGAGCCCCTGGGATGGCTGTTTATAAGAATACAGCTCACTGATAGTTTCTAACCAAAAGTGGTAAAATGCAACCATAGACTTTTTTTTAACTGAAGATAAGAGGTTTATAATGCAACAAAAAAATAAATAAATCAAAACTGAATAACTGACTAAACTAAACTCTCATAGATCACTTTTTTTACTTTAATGACAGCTCATTTGAACCTCTAATAAAGCCATGAGCATGAACTATCAGCTGTAATATAGATTGAATTTAAGAGAATAAAATAAAATAGAAATATAGTTTATTATCATTTACTGGGGAAAATAGGGGTGTCAGCCAAACACCGTTGACAAAAAAAATGAAAACAACTTCTAACAAGGTCAAATACATAGATAAGGAAAACTGATTACACAGTAAGAGCAAATTGACCTTATGTGAAAAAAAATCACAGCCAGTTATTAAAAATACAATAGTAAAAGTCAAAGAAATAAAATGGTAAAAGCTTTTTCAAGTCAGGAGACTTGACCAAAGCGCTTAATTAAAACCAATTTGTAGATTTTTAAGTTTTTGTTCTAGGTGGTAGATGTGCTTGTATTAATACATAAAATGCCGCAACAATAAATGAAATATTAAACAAATGTTTATACTAATGCTTAATTTAAAAAAAGACCAGGGAGAAAAATAAGGAAAATATAATTACCAATGTTTTAAAAAAATAGGAGATTTAAATTGCTCATAAAATATAATATGTTTTAAAAACATAACAAGAATATATCTTCACTAGCTGATGGGTAAACATGACCAGATGTTATCTGCAATATAAAGATACTTTCTTAAGGAAATTAGCTTTGAGCTTCTGTGACACAGATCAGTAACTTGCCATGTACAGAAAATGTTGCAGTGTTAAAGTGAAGTAAGAGTTCAATTTAAAACCAGTTCAAGTGCATATTGTCCCACTCTGAATTAGTGTTAAATTAACTCTCTACATACTGTATATCTTACACCAGTACATGTAATAACTGAAAGAGTCAACACTGCATGTTTAACACCGTGGAATTTGGAGTTTTCAAATATGAATGCTCTAAATCAGGGGTAACCAATTAAAAATCAGCAGTGTCCATAAGTAAAATTAGGTGTTTATGCAAACATGTTATAGGGTGACTTTTTAAATAAAAAAAATATTCAAAGAAATACATTTTTCCATTTCAAAATGTAGTGTTTTTTGAAGTAGAGAACAACAATCGTTCAGTTTGGTATATATAGACAATTTCATGATTTCCATATTTTATAAAACGTCTGAACTGGGTTTGAATGGAGAAAAGGCCATTCTTAAGAAAATA